TTCAGGCTGCAAAAACTAACTGGCCTGCATAAGATAACGAAAAAAGAAAGAAAAAAACGGATTTTCAGACAGAATTTCTTTTTAAATAGAAATTTTCTAAACTTTGGGACAATGTTGTCTGATAAAGATTAAATTTATATACACTTTTAGCCAAAATGATTTGACATTTAAATATGACTTCCCTACAAATTTAATAAATAAGAAACAGCATCTGTCCTACAGAGGCATTTTTCCTTTTAATTATTTAATCTGTGTGTTTGATGTTTTAACATTAATTAGAGATATCCTGATGTCTTAGAAGTTTGGGTTACTTCATTTTTTTGTTTAGGATGAGGAAAACGTTGTGAATGTTCTCTTCCATAGATGGCCACTTTCTGTTTTCCCCAAAACTAATAACTGTTGTAAGGAATTAAACATTACAGTAGATAAAGTGTAATATATGTTAATTAATATCTCTCTGCAGGAAACATCGGGTCTGTGACATTTAAAGAATGGCTGAGGTAGTTAAAAGAGAAGGTATCGATAATTTAATGGATATAATAACTGACTTAAAGTAAGGGCGCTGGCAGCTTTTAGAATCGCTATGCTTTGCTCAAGGGCACTTCATTGATTAAGAACTTTAACATGATTTATTCATTTTGAAGCAAGAGTCTGATTAGAAGAGCTTATCAGCTGACTGGTCTGGTTTCAACTCTAGGTACAGAGTAAACCCTGTTCCTTTGTGCTGCCTCTAGGCCAGTTTGTCTAGTAGGAATCGATCTGATATATATCTAACAGCCAAATACATGTGATTTCTCACAGATGATGTCAGTGAATTCTATCCAATCAATGAGTTGTTACGTGGGAGACACTCTGTCATGATCAAGGGGATTTTTCTGACCCACATGAAGGAAACCACCGGCAGGACTCAAAAGATCGGTTTATCTTATTTATTCAACAGAAAACAGTATTTAAGCTTGGTTCAGACAGATCAGCTGCTTGGTTCCAGATGAGGAGCCGATCTCAGAGGGGGCTTGTGGATTGGAAAGTGGGCTGGAGACCAAACCGTGGATAGTGGGCAGGCAGACAGAGTAACAGTGGAACCTGGGGGAAAAGACAGCAGGATGAGCAGGGGTTCCCCTCATTCAACGAAAAGTACAGGAATTCTTCAATACACAATCTTAATACCTTACCTTGTATACTGTCAAGTTTTTCCAAAGATTTAGCTGCAGTCCTTGCCACACAGCTATAGTCAAATATTGACCTAATTAAAGCTTTATAGTGGTTAACATTAGAGTTCTACGTGCCCCCCACATTGTTCCAGTCAGACACCTCATAATATTAATGTTTTCTTTATTACAATTTTCTTCCATTTTCTTTATATGATCTTTATAAGTAAGTTACTCATCCATCCATCCA